CCTGCTACAATAAATCTTGTGGGTGAAGGATGCTAAGGCAGGAACATAAATGACAATAGCTGTGCTTTCCAGAGTTGACTGGATTATAAAACAAACCACACACTTAGGATTATCACTTCCAGAAAATGCATAAAAGGCAGACAGAGTCAAGGGCTGAGAGAAAGGGAAGGTACTTGCTGTCCAGTTTCGAGATTAGAATAGTGGTTTGCCCAACCTGGGTTCTCTACATTACTTTCCAACCAACCCATCTAACATAAACTCTGAGTGGAAGCTCTGTAGTTAAAATTCCTCTGCTCCCTGACCACAATTTGGCATCACCAGTTACTCAACGTCTCTGGGCTTTGGTGTATAAATCTGAAAAATGCAGATCACATTAGCTACTCTCTAGACTTCCCTGAGAGCACACGCAATCACCTTAGTCCAGGGCATGAATGGCCAGCATCCAGTGTACCATAAATATAAGTGTCAGAGATAAGCCTGGGGAGTGGCACTGCAGTCTGGGGAAGTCCTGGATAAAGATACTCCAAGTAAGGGTCTTCATTGCTCTTCATTAGCTCTTAGAGAGCTTCTTAGTACTGACACTCCCATTTCAGAGATGGAGAGGTTGAGACTCAGAGAAAGAGAAACAAAGAGCATACATCCAGGTAACATGAAGGACAGAAATTAGATCCACTATCTTCCCCTTTGGTGGTCTTTCTCCCATGCTAAACCCCTTCCTCCCTGTTAGGTCTCCCAACTCCACAGTTGCAAACCTTCATGGTTCTTGCCTGGGCTGCTTTGGTCTCTCTTTTACTAGTCGTCCACTGCATTTGAAGCACCATCCTGTAATTCCCCACTTAAAGGCATTCAGCCTTCTATGTAAGCAAGAGGCCTGGGACAGCAGAAGGCTGAGTTTGAAAGCCAGTGTCCAGCCACTCCCTGAGCTACTCTGATAACTGATAGGACTTGGGGTATTTGTGAATGGGATAAGGTTGCTGTCAGGCAACTGTGAGTAGCATGGTTGCATCTGGTAGGGCTCATTCCAGACTGCTAGAGCTGCTCATCCTCAGGGCTCTACTCTCCAGAGAGAGGTTGTCTTCCCTTACCTTCCCTCTCCCCTACAGTCTCTAGCAAAGTGCTAGGAGATATAGAGCAGATACTCGGGAAGGAGTTCTTCAGTGGCACAAGGCCTCCCAGGATGGTCTTATCTTTGGATGCCTCTAGAACCTACCCAACCCTGGGACTGTAGCCAGAAAATGGTGGTGCTGTGGCAGGAAGCAGTGGGCCTGGGGGATGGGGAGAGGTAAACAGGGGCTAGATGACACAAAGTAAACTGGATTTAGAAAACAAACTTGAGCTAATGACTGTAGGTGGTGTTAGTCATTCTGTGAAGGAATTTGGGAATACATATGCATACTAATAAGGACGCATTTTGGATGCTTCTTACTCTAGCACTGGAAAGGGAGGAGGGGAAAGGGCATTGCAAGTAGCAGTTACGTTTATTCAAAATTCTCCCAAGGTATGTGGGGCATCAGATCAGATTGACTGTTACTCCTAGGAGTGTTGAGTGAAGGGGATAATAGACATTTGGAAGCAACTCTCAGATACTGTAGTAAACTAGGTGCTGGGTAATCTGGAGCTAATGGAAGACTGTACCTTAGGATTTGTCTTACTGCCTGCTCCACAATAGTCACTTTTTAGGCTGTGATGAGCCCAGGGAGACTCTGAGAAGCATCTACTGCATTCCAGAACTTTCTTTACATTGGAGGATTGGAGTTGTGTTCTGATGCCAGGGTTTGGCTGTGATATGCAGCATGCCATCCAGGCCCTGTTTTTTGTGCTGCATAGAGACATGTGTGTGAAAACATCCTTGAGCACCTGCTCGTAACTTTCTGGGAAATAATGTATCTGCCCTGTACCTTTGGTTTTACAGTGCTTTGACTGTAAAACCAAAATGAAGAACTATGTACAAGGAGCCTTGGGATGTCCCCGCCTTTCTGCCCAGTGATCCCACTTCTGGGAATCATCTAGCCCAAGAAAGAAGAATGCAGCCCAAGGCTTGAGTACTAAGATATTCATCACAGGGAAATTTAGAAATGTGAAATATAGAAGAATACAAAGGCCCCTCATTCCATCTTTTGAATAACTCATGTCTCTCTCTCTCTCTCTCTCTCTCTCTCTCTCTCTCTCTCTCTCACACACACACACACACACACACAAACACACACACACACAGAGCTCGGATTCCCTCATCTCTGTGGAAGGCCACCAGTGACAGCAGTCAGGTGGTCTAGCTGGTTGTCTAGTCTTTCCAGTCCACTCCAGGAAGTGTCGTTACTGCTGTCAGTTACTCTTCCAATTTTCCCATTGCTAAGTGTGGATTACTTTCTGGGAATGTCACATGGTGAATGGGGTCTTCAGACTGATTCTCTTGGCCTCCTAAGATGCATCTCTACCTTTCTCCATCTGCCAAGATCACTCAGGGTTCCTAGAGTCCAAACCCTTTGAAAGAAGTGACTTGCCACAGTGCTCAGCACTATAAAGACATGGTGAGTTTGGGGTCTATTACCTCACTCCCAGACCAATGCTCAGTTCTGGTGAAGTCCATATAATTTGAAAAGCAAACTACCGATCTTTACAATGACCTAAGATAGCAGATCCAGGTCTGGCTCTTCATGAAATTTCCACATTTCCTATTCTGAACTGAAAAAAAAACTTCCTAAAGGGGCTCGCTTTGAGGCAGTAACTAGATCATTCTTGGGTGTGTGGCCCCCTCCATGACGCCCTAATGTACATTTGGCTTCTGAGAGCAGCTCATCTCTGTTCTGAGCCCACTGGTTCTTCCATTGCCACAGGCTCTGGTGCTTTAATGGGGTACTGTGAGATAAGGAGCTAACAGAGCTTGCTACCCATGACCCTTCATGGGGACTCATACTCCAAGGAGCTTGCCGTCAAATTCCTCTTTTCGTTTCCACTCCCTCTCTGGGAGTTCCTGCCTGTGGTATTTCAAATTATAGGTAAGCAAGGAAGGAAACACTCTCCATTCTGAGCTGTCCTTCCTCCATCCTTTCCATTTCTGCTTCCCTTCACCACCTCCTCTTTCCAACCCCGACCTCCTTCTACTGCCCTCTCGCTCCCTCCTTGCTTATTTCTTCTCTTCTGCATGGCTGTGATTTTCAATCTCACTTTTCTTGTGCTAGCCCTCTCTGACACACATTGCCCTTCACCCTGGCCTCGCCTTTCATCTCCCAGGCTTTCTATAGGTAGTTCCATGGGGATCCAAACAGGCCGTTTTTCTTCGTGTCTTCCCATGATTGGGACCACGCTGCCCATGGAGAGGATGCCCCGCTAGGAATCTGCCCGCCTAGTTGTGAACAGACAGAGAAGAAGCAGGGTTTTCTATTAGACAATCCAGTGGAGCAATAACTGTGCCGAAGACACCTTCACATGTTCTCCTGGCTCTTCTGGATGTCTGGGTAGGGGGGAGAGTCATGGTAGCCACTGGGGGAGGACAGATGGATTGAGACATTCACCCTGGATACCAGCTGGAGTCCCAGCAAGAATTCTAACACTTCGGCTTCTTCAGTGCAAAAGGTACAGACCCCGTTGGGAAGTCCCCAGACAGAGCCTTTTCCACACTCTTCCCAGACACTGGTTGCTGATCCCTGTGGGCAGAGAGGAGAGCTACACCCACAACCAGCGGGAGTTGGGATCCAGCAAGCCACCACTTGCCTCAGACAGGTCCCTCTTCTGGGCCTCAGTTTCCTGATATGTCAAAAGGAAGTCAATGGAAGGTTGCAGCAAGAGGTGAGCAAGCCACTGCATATCTCTGGGATCCCTATGATATTCCGGAAAAGTCTAAGTGTAAGCTCGCACTGATTCCTCTTTAGAGTGTGGGAATGTGAGAGGGCTTAGCTGGAATTGATTCTCACACACACGCACACACATGCACACATGAGGACTTAATTCACACAGGGACTTAATTCACACACACACATACACACATGCACACACGCACACACACACATACACACACAAAGGCACACACAGGCACACACACAACACATACACTCACGTGCACACACGCACACGCAGGTACACACGCACGCACACACATATACACGCACACACACAGGCGCGCACACACATATACACGCGCACATACAGGCACACACACACACACACACACACACACACACACACACACACACACACACACACACACACACACACACTCCCCGCCTGCGGACCCAGGCTGCAGGGCGCTCTCCGCACGTGAGGCGGCAGCACCGGTGCGGGTTGCGGGTGGCTCGCCTGGCGCAGGGCTGCAGGGTTGCCCTCCGCCCGCCTGCCCTCTGCGGCCTCAGCCCACGCCCCGTCTCGCGGGTCCCCCCGGACACCCGCGGCCCTTCCCGTCGCCCTGCCAGCCCCCGCCCACGCCCCCCGGGACCGCGCGTCCCCGCAGCTTTCGCGGCGCTGGTGGCCAGCGGGGCGCGGGGCTCCGACTCCGGCGGATTCGCTGGTCCGGTAGCGGGAGAGCTCGGCCCCAGGCCGCTCGGCGTGCCCAGCCGCTGGGCAGTCCCTGCCGCCGTGCGCGCGGGTGTGCGCGGGGGCGCGCGGGCGCGCGGGGTGCGCGGTGCGGGGGAGCGAGTGTGCGCGGGGGCGAGTGCCCGGCTCCGTGTCGCCGACACGCACACACCCCGGCCGGCTGCTCCGGACTTGAAGGCACCCACGTTCCGAGATGTCCGAGGTTCCTGGGGATGCCCGGGGTTCTTAGAGCTGCAGAATCGCCCCGGAATCTTCCTAGGGAGGAATTGACTGGGTTTGGGGTTTTTGTTGTTGTTGTTGCTTTCTGTTTTTCCTTTTGTGTTTTTTGTTTGCTTTTTCAACCTGGAAAAGAAGAGAACAAGTTGTGCTTCTTCATTCCTCTTGCTCCATGCCGTGGATATAGCTGAATAAGCCGCGCCGGGCTCCCCCGGTGTGGCCGTCCGAGGCCACCACCCGCCTGCATTCGCCCGAGCGCGCTGGGTCTGGGAAGGATGCGAGGCCGAGCCGGGGAGCCCAGGCGCCCCGCAGAGCCGGCCTCCGCGCCTCCCAGCCGGGGCTAGATGCCGCCTCGCCCAGGTGAGTGGTCCCGGCGCCGCGTCCCCGACCCGGGCTATGCGTGGGGGGCTGGCGCTGACGGCACGCACCCGACAGAGCCGCCGAGCCCGGAACTTTGCCTCCTTTCCCGGTACCCCTCGAGGGCTCCCCTCGCCGGGTACTCAGCCTGGACACTGTCTTCTCTTTCCTCGTCTTTCTGCGGGAGGTTTCCTTTCATTTCCTGGTCCTGCTCCCCAGGCAGTGGCGGGTTCGGGGGGAGGGGGGGACTCTGGCGAGGGGCCCGAGGGCAGTCCCTGCAGGGCCGGGGCGCGGGAGCCAGAGCCGCGAGCCGCACGTACACGGAATGTGGCGAGCAGAACTTTGCCGCCAGACCACTGTTGCATCTCCGCACGCGAAGGCCTGGGGCAGTGATGTCTGGGGGACGGGGGGGCTGGCTCTGAAGCCAGGGCGCCCCAAGCTCTGTGAGCTGGGTGGGGTGGTGGGGCGGAAGGGCTGTTGATTCAGCGCTGATGGAGGGAAGAAAAGCTTCATGCAGTTTGGGGAGGCAGCTTGGGCGAATCAGCAATCAGCGACTCCCTCCTGGTTCTCCACGGAAGGCAGGGGCATCAGAGGGGGTTTATGTGGGATCGGCTTGGGCATCAGAATGGCATGATGAAGCAATATGGAAACTGGCATTAGCCATGCTTGCATGGTAGGTCTCGTGGTACCCACCCAGTCCTGCCCTGGTTCCAGAGCTGGCCTGGGCATGGAGGAGGGAAATCCCTGGACAGCTCCTTAGCTCTGCACGGAAGGTGAGGGTGGGTGTCCTGCCCCTCTTCCGTTCACCCCCGTACAAAAGCCCTGGCAGGGAGTTGTAGCCGGAGCCAAAGAGGGGGTGAGGGGGAGAGAGAAAGATACTCTGGAGGCTGAAGGGAGCCTGAGCAAGACTGCAGAGGGACTGAGGGAGCCAGGCCAGACCCAGTGCACGCAGAAGCACCACCAGACCCCTTCCAGGAGAGGGAGCTGGTCAGAGTTTGTCAGACATACTCTGGGCTGACTGGAGTTACAGGCATCACAGCCACACAGAGCATGAGCATGGGGTGTGTGCCTCTGTGTGTGTTGGGGGGGGGGGGCTTAGAAGGGGGGAGCTGGCCTGCTGTGACTACGATGTGGAGATGGCTGGATGAGACCTCCCCTTTCAGGAAACTGACACCCCCAGCTTTGGGCTGGGGGATGAGAGCTGGGGAGGGAGTCACAGGGCTCTATGATCTGAAGTTCCCAGGGACTTGCACAGAAGCTCTGGGTGGGGGCTGGGTCAGAATCCACCATGGGGAGACCAAGAAGGAGGAGATCACAGGGAGCGCGAGGGAGAAGGTCTGGTTCTTGTGCTTGTGTCAGAGCTCCTGGCCATCTGCTGTAAGTGGCTCTAGCCGACTGTGGGACTTGTTTGTGGGGTTCCCTTTGGAGGATGATGGGGGGGGCAGCGTTGTGCAGGGAAAACTAGGAAGCTCGGGAGGGCTTGCGCTTGGCGCCATCAGCCAGGCGAGCACTGTGCTGACTCTGGAATGTCATCCTTCCCTCGTTCCAGCTCTCCTAAGGCATCTCACATGCTCCTGCTCAGGCCCCAAGCCCAGCCCTTAATTTAGAGTTTCTGGTCTAATTCCTGCTCAGGAATGTGATTACTTATCTTCCTGCCCTGGCCCTGGGGAATACAAACAGCAAGCTTGGCGTTTCTGGCCCGGCTCTGGCCATGGTTCTTGGGGAGTTTGTCCATCTCCCACCCTGCTGATTGGGTCCCTGCCAGTTTCAGGGGCTCAGTTCTTTCCCCAGATCCAGGAATCCAAGGAGTTGGGGCATGTGGCTGGGGGGAGGGGGGAGGGGGAGGGCAAAAGGGGGAGAGCAGGGAGCTTTCAGGAGATGGAGATGAGGAGAAAAGGAAAAGTGAAGGGGCTAGGAGATGTGGCTGGAGGGCTTTTGGGCCACCAGTCCTGGTGTGACCATAGTTGGACTCGCCTTGCTGGTTTCAGCTGTAGCTCTGAAGTCCAGTCTCGGATCTGGGGGACTCTGGTCTCCTGGCAGGGCGTCAGGGTCAGGCTGTTGGATCTCTTGGGCCTGTAGAATTGATCCAGCAGGAAGGCTCACCTTTAGAAAGAGCCCAGCCAAGAGAGGAGACAAGCACAGTTCTGGGCCACTGGGACTTTGCCATTCTGAAGGGACAAAGGAAACATCAGCCAGAGACATCGAACAGGAACTAAACTCTGAACCAGAGCCACAGCCTATTGTGTATTTTGGCTGAAAAACAAAAAAGAAGCCAAAAAGAAACATGAGTCTGAGTAGAATTTTGGGGTCTGACTGGCTCGAAGAGATAGCGCTGCTGGAGAGGGGAGAGAAGAGCCTGGGTTCAAATCTGTTCATGAGTACTCCTAAACTCAGGATCCACGCTGGTCCGACATTGCTCCTGGCCCTGCTGCCAAGTAGGGGACACAGCCCAGGGCGTCTGGCTCAGATTTGGGTCTGATGAATGAACCCACTGAGAACCCACTGGGATAGGGATGTAAGAAGGGGGATCTAGCCATAAAAGGAAAGCCCATAAAAGGTACATTTTGGGACAGAGAGATGCAGCTGCTCTGGTTAAATCTCCAGCACCTTATAAGGTCTCCCAAGCACTGCTAGGAGTGATCCCTAAGCACAGAGCCAGGAGTAAGCCCTGAGCACTTCCGGGTGTGATCCCCAAACAGAAAAAAAAAAATTCAAGAACTGGAAGTCAGGTCTGAAAACAGGGACCAGGAATCAGGTCTGAAAACAGGGACCAGGAATTTTCAAGGATTGGGAAGTCATGTCTGAAGACAGGGACCAGGGAGATTACCCATATTTGGCCTGCTCAGAGTGAGGGAAACCAGGAGGACTTCCTGGAAGAGGCAAAGATATCAAGTGTTGCACCATCCCAAAAAGTCCATAAAAGGTGGATTCTGTTTTCTCTTTAGTGCTCAGTGGTGACAGGGGAGAGACTGAACAAGTAGAGAAGCTGTTGGGAGAAATTTCTTTAGATTTCACAGTAATTGGCTCCTTCAAAAGAGTCCTTGCTGAATGTCTTGCTCCGTTGGGCCTGCTTCCATTCGAGACTGGAGCCAACCAATGGAATGCCAGGCCATTCAAGTAGACCCTGGGCACTCTGGGGAACAAAGCAGGTGCAAAACATGCAGAAGAGAGATGGATGGAACGGGGAATTGGGGCGCTCAGCGATGGGACTTATGAAGGAGGCACTTTGGTTTCTAACATGCTCATTCTGTGATCAGGGGCCCCCCTTGAAGCTCTGGCACCGGAGTAGGCCAAAGGCATTTTCCTTGGTTGTTTCTCGACTTTCTGTCATTTCCAGCCAAGGAATCTTGTAGACACCTGCTTCCTAACTGTACTCCTATGGCATTTTATGATTCCTGATGTGGTGTATGTCTTTTCCTGTGCATTGTAGATGCCCCTCGCAGCACACATGTTTGCACCCTGGGGGGCGCTGTTGCCTCCACTGAGGAAGGAAGGCTTTTGTGCTGTAGACAGGATTAGAGAAGGAAGTAGACTAAGAGGCAGGGAGAATCCAGGTGTCATGGTGAGGAGAATATCACTTTGGCAGTTTACTACCCTAAGTGTGGCCTATTGACACACTAGATTAGCTTTGTCAAACACCGGCTCCCCCTGGGCGTCCTGATAAAATGGTAATGTCCATTCAGCAAGCTGGAGCTGGTAGACTACTGGAAGAGGGGAAAAGTGAAGACCAGAGGCAGCTATGCCCTGGGGCACCAGGTTGTTCAAACTCGGGGCTCAGGGGCTAGAGAGACAGTACAGTGTGCAGGGTGCTTACCTTGCATGCAGCTGACTCTGGTTCATTCCCCACCACTGTGTTTGGTCCCCGGAGCACCTCCAACAGTGACCCCTGAGCACAGAGCCAGGAGTAAGCCCTGAGCACTGCTAAGTATGGTCTTCAAAACCCAAAAGACCAAAGGAAGAAAAACTTTGCATTGTAAAAGCACTAAGCAGATTCAAACAGTACCACAGTCTCCATAGTCAGGTGACCATACATGTTGCTCTTTGTTCTTTCCCTAGTCCTATCCTTGTGTGGCAGCTGAAATTTGCGTCGAGTATGGGGTCTGCAGGGGAGCACAGGCTGGATCTGCCCTGCTTCCAGTTAGCAGCAGCCCAGAGAGTCTTTTATTTGGACAAACCTGGGCCTTCTGTCTTCACTCTCTGCCAGAGCCATGGCTCAGGGGGACCAGACTATGCTAGGGGAAAAATTGGGGCTGTGGAGACAAAACTTGGGTGGTAATCTGTGTGCAACTGGATTCAGTAATAGAACAGGGCTCTTGTCAGTTGCTGAGCTGCATGGCTTCTTCTGCAGTAGACTCAGGACTTCTGCAGTCCCCAAACAGGAAGGATGGAGACCCCAGAGTTGGGATCTTCAGTATTCAGTACACTTACTATTGGCATGTCCTCTGCTAACTGGGTCCCAGCCAAGCCCAAGAGGCACGCCAGTCACTGTGACCAGACCCAGCACAGAAGTAGGAAGCTGAGTCTCTCTCCAGCCCTTTACTCTGCATTTCTCTCCTGGGCACCCCCTCTCAACACATCCTTTCCTGTTGTACCCCGTTTCTGGGTAGGCGTGAACTGTCTTCCATCTTGATTTAACACATGTTTCAAGTGAAACTTCCAGGGATGCAAACTTGGGTCCCCCCACCTGTCTCCATTTCCCTGACACCCCCTTCCTGCCTCTCCTCACCCCAGGCTCTCCTCCTCAACTGCCTCTCCTGATCCAGTCCCCTAGCATGGCGGCGTTAGTCAAACAAGCAGGCAGTGGAGAGCTTGAAGGCCCAGAACAATATCGGGGAATGTGGAGGATCCTATTTTAGAGTAGTTGTAAGGCGTGTGTGTGTGTGTGTGTGGTGTGTGTGTGTGTGTATGTGTGTGTATGTGTGTGTGTGAGTGTGTAAAGGGGGCTTCACTGTTACTCAAATCTCTTGTGTCCTTCCAAATGTGTGAGACTTGGTCACTCAGCC